GTGCATTAACTGCTGGTTGTATCGAGTGAAAGTTTACTGGTTGTATCGAGATAGAACCAAAGAAATTTATTTTTGTATGGAGTTTACTTCTTTTTTGGGATCTATTTTTACCATTTTGAGCTATTTATTATTGGTTTATAGTTACAGACTTGCAGACTAGGAACTTATGAGCATGATATTACATAGATCTTGAAGAACAGGGCTTCGGTACAACTCTGGCTTTCAGATGGAAGTTCTTTGGTTCATAAATACTGGCAGAAATAGTTATCAAGTAAAAAGGAACAAAAAAATTTATTTTAAATTTACTAGGGACAAAACCTGTGTGTGTGTGTGTGTGTGTGTGTGTGTGTATTGTTGATAAATTAGGGCAAAGAAAAAACAAGAACGACACAAATTTAGAAGAACGCAGAGAAATTTAGCAAAGTTCAGCAAAGATGCATACATCCTCGGGAGAGAGCGGAGATTTCTTTCACTATTCAGAAAAAGGGTTACAGAATATAGGATACCTCTTGGGGTTACTAACATGCCTATTTATAACCCCAGGAGTAATCCTAAGTATAATATGTAATTGCAACATTACTCATGTACCGTATCGCGGGGCTTTACCCCCGCACCCCCAATTTACGTAACTTCCCGATTTAGACAGATTTTTCCTCTCCGCTCCGCTCCACTTCGATCCAGCGTCTGTCCCTATATGGTATATGAGTCATATCATAACAAATCTCCACATCGGCGAATATCCAACCCCTTAGGAGAAAAAGATACCTGGAAGTTACACCTGCACCAATGTGGGTTGGGTCACCATGCTTCTCTAGCAAGTGCAAACATTCAACAAGTCCAAGCAATACAAGAATTTGTTGATAGTAACTGGTTTAGTCAACATATCAGTTGCATTCTCATCTGTATGAGTCTTCTACAATAGTATCTCACCATAAGCTATCAATTCTCTGATCTAGTGATACCTGACATCAATGTGCTTGGTTCTCGCATGATACTCTTGGTTCTTAGTCAAATAAATAGCACTTTGAAACTCTGACTGTCACAATGCAACTGAACTCCATCTTGCTCAACACCCAGTTCCTTTACTAGCTCAGCAAGCCATAAGACTTTTTTTTGCAGCTTCAACTACTACCATGTACTCAGCTTCAGTTGTAGATAATGTCACAATAGACTGAATTATTGATTTTCAACATATACGCCCTCCACCAAGAGTAAACACATACCCAGTTGTAGACCTTCTGCCATCCAAATCACCTGCATAGTCTAAATCAACGTACCCCACAACTGAACGTACCCCACAACTGAACGTACCCCACAACTGAAGGATAATTTTGCTGGTTGCCAAAAAAAATTCTATGTCCTACAGTACCATTCAGATACTTGAAAATCCACTTGACTGTTTTCCAATGTCGCCTTTCAGGTTTAGTCATGTATTTGCAGACTTTACTAACAACACGAGCCAAATTATAACGAGTACATATCATTGCTTACATTAAGCAGCCAACTGCATTAGCATATGAAACATTTGTCATGTCTTCGATTTTTGTATCTGTCTTAGGACACTGTTCTGAAGAAAGCTTAAAACGATTTGTCAAATGAGTGCTTACAGGCTTTGTTTTGCTCATCTCAAACATTTTCAACAATTTCTCAACATAGAAATGTTGAGATAAACATAATCGTCTTGAGGCTATGTCTCGATGAATCTTCATTCCAAGAATCTTCTTCGTAGTGCCCAAGTCTTTCATGTCAAATTTTTGGCTCAATAAAGCTTTCAAACTCGCACATCATTCATATCTTTTGCAGCAATCAGTATATCATTAACATATAATAACAAAAAAATAATAGAACGATCATCAAGGTTCTTCACATAAACACAGCAATCATACTCACATCTCTTGTAGCCAAGTTAAATCATGTAGGAGTCAAACCGCTTGTACTATTGTCTTGGGGACTGTTTCAACCCATACATCGATTTCTTTAACCTGCAAATTAGATGCTCCTGTCCAGGTTGAGTGAACCCTTCTGGCTGCTCCATATAAATCTGCTCCTCCAGATCACCATGCAAGAAAGCAGTTTTAACATTCATCTGCTCCAAACGGAAATCCCAAATAGCTATTAATGCAAGCACTGCCCTGATTGAAGTATGTCTGATCACAGGAGAAAAGATTTCATCATAATCTATCCGTTTCTGCTGTGAAAATCCCTTTGCAACTAGTCAAGCCTTGAAGTTTTCTCCTTCTTTTTATGATACTGTTGGTTTCCTTTTGTAGACCCATTTGCACCCAATAGCCTTTTTTTCCTCTGGAAGCTGAACTAGCTCCCATGTGCGATTTTTCTGCAAAGACTCAATTTCCTCAACCATTGCATACATTCATTTCTCTTTGTCCTGGTTAGTGATAGCTCCTTGAAAAGTGGTTGGATCATCGCTACTGATGAGAAGTACACATGAGACTAAGTCTTCATAACCCAATTTGCTATTAGGCCTTACATTGGTGCGTCTATGTATATATCTGGCTAGATTATAATTTTGCAGATCATCTGGAATAGAATCACCATGTATTGGATTTGAACTTTCACATCTCTCAGAAGCTATTGGCTGTTATTCTAAATCCATTTGTACTGCATCTGAACTGAAACTCTTCTCTGACATTTTGTCTTAATTCAGATTCTGCTGTAACATAAAGTGCTCATCAAAAACTGCATCTCTGCTGATCACCATCTTCTTTGCAATCGGATCCCAAAACTTGTATCCTTTCACACCTTTCTTGTAGCCCAGAAAGATGCACTTCTTGGATTTTGCATCAAGTTTGGATCTTTCATCTCCAGGTACATGCACATAAGCAGGACATCCAAAAATCCGTAAATGATCAAAATTAACTGGATTACATGTCCATGCCTCTTCTGCGATCTTGCCACCCAATGATGCTCGAGGTGATCTATTGATGAGATAGCATGCCATATTC